AAAGGTTGTGGTTTACACACTCTTATTTTCGGCCAGGGCCTAAAATAGGAGTAGGAAAACTTTATTTTGAAAAGGAAATATTTTGGATGTTTAGGGAAGGTATGGAGAGTGTGGGCTCAGCCTAGGGTGGGTGTAGGACAACCATGGTGTTGGGTTGGGTTCTAAGACAGGAAAATGGAGAAGTTTCAACCCAATTAATGTCACCACACTTGGGCTTTATTCCCCTGATCTGTCTTTCCCTTGGCGGGCTACGGAGAGTCTTCGGGCATGCTCCCGGATATATATCATCCTCCCCTTCTTCGAAAGAGTTTGCCCTCAAACTCGGCTTTTCTTCACGCTCATCTTCGGGGTTTGGATATGGTAATCTATCTTTATCTCTAGAACACCTTGAGGACGTGTTCTCTCTCACACCTGTGCCTTTTTGAATGACCTGCAAATTAAGCAAAAAAGTGTTGGCATTAAAAGCCGTTAGTGTTGGTTTGCCCCCGAGGTTTTCCATTCCAAAGAAGGGGTCGGATAGGGTATCTTCAAAAAGGCTCAACGGCTGATTTTGCTCAAGCAAAGGGTCATATTGTAACTCTTTAGATTCGTGGTAGGCAAACATGGCAAGTACAGATGGGGGCGGTTTTTCGGGCAGCTTGTTGGATGGTATTATTGGGGAAAGAGTGATTCTCCTAGTATTCAAAAAGAATGAATACGAGTTGGCAAAACCATCGTAGGTAACTCTCCGATCATATAACCAGGGCCTCCCGAGGAGAATATGACAAGCTTTCATGGGTATCACATCACACCATACGTCCTCATGAAAGGACTGACCCATGCTAAAGGAAACCAAGCTACGTGTATTCACGCGCATCCCTTCGTTAAGATTCAACCATTGAATCTCGTAAGGCTTCAGATGTGGCATCTCCTTTAAATTGAGCTTTTCAACCGCTGTTTTGGAAACAACGTTGGAACTACTCCCGCTATCAATGATCATTGAACACACCTTCTTTTGAATGGTGCAACGAGTACGAAAAATACTCTCTCGGTGTGTGGTATCGTCCTGGGCAGCCGCATGACTAATGGTCTTTTGAATGACCAAAAGTTCACCTTCATCGGGACCAACAACTTCTTCTTTGTTCGGCTCTCCTTGAATCCAAAATGGATTCAATTCTTTTTCTTCACATTCAACAATAGCCATGATCTTCTTGTTTGGACAGTCACTAGCAAAGTGACCAGCGCCTTGGCAACGAAAACACTTTGGGACTCGGCTACTTGAGGAACTTGGTTTTGAAAGAGGAGAAGCATTTGGTGAGAAAATAGGGTGCACAGTTTTAGGATTTTGAGGGGAGGGATCTGTGAGATTTTGGGCAGCAAGGGGGGTGGAATTTGATGTACTAGGGTAGGAAGAATTGCCACGGCTCAAAGAAGATTTGCCCTTCTTGAGTTGGGCTTCCACCTTAAGTGCTAACTTGGTTAGCTCTTCAAGGTTCTCAAAGGTTTGCAGCTCCACTGTGT